GATCCTCCTGACAGCCATGCTTTATATTTTGATTTATGTTCTTCTAAAGCTAAAATCAAAGATTCCATCTAGTGCTATTTTATGGCTCAGCTGTATTTTTAGGTATTTTATGTTATTTTAGGTGATTTCCCTAACCAAATTTGTTTGCAGGGCACTTGTCCTACTCTTACCCCCATTTTACTTCCTTTTGCAGCTCTCTAGCCATTTCCTGGAGTTTTTTAGAGGCATTTTTGTGCCCAAAAGTTTGGGTTCGGGGTCAACTTCAGAGTCAAGTTCAGGGTCAAGTTCGAGCCTGAACCCGGAGTTTTTTTCAAAGTTCGGCCGAACCCGCCAGGACACGAACATCCAGGTGTCTGCTCAACTCTACTCAGGACAAAATTTTGAAACTATTTACCATGGGTGTTTTTTGGCGGTTGTAGATATGTATCAGATTTGGGGGTCAAAGTTAGAAAAGGTGTGTTTTTTCCATTTTTTCCATCATATTTTATATTTTTTATAGTAAATTATATGACATGATTAAATTAATGGTGTCTTTAAAAAGACCATTTAATGGCGAGAAAAAGGTATATAATATGTGTGGGTACAGTAAATGACTAAGAGGAAAATTACAGCTAAACACAAACACTGCAGAAATTTAAAAAGAGCCCTGGTCCTTAATGGTAAGAAAATTGAAAAATGGTCTGGTCACTAAGGGATTAAAGGATTCCAGATTCAATTGGAAAACATGGAGTGGTAGGTTTTTAAAGTTCCAGAATTTAGTTGGAAAAGACAGTTAGATGTTTCCAGCTTTTGGTTAATGATCAAAGATCCTCTGTCTCCAATTTGTGAGGAAGAGCTTAACTTTCTTTACATCACTAATTTAAAGTGACCAATGGAGCCAGGTGGGTGTATCTTCTTCTATTAATTGCCATATAGACTTTGATCAATAGGTGGCGCTGTAACACCACAAGAAATTCTCCTCCAGAATTTTAACTACCACTAAGTATGAGGGGTAATTAAATTTCATAATGCGTTTGATTTCACAAGTCTTATCTTTAATGGATAATTTTGCATCATATATCTGTCAATTTTCAAAGGGATTTTAGCAGACTGGCCATCTGGGTTTTGGGCCATAAATATGATTTTGATGCATTTGGCCTCTCCTTCAACTTTATCTTACAATGGAACCTTGTAGCAATCCATTAAATTTAAAAAGTAAAATTAATTACTTAGTGTTATCTCTTTCTGGTAATCCTGTGTCTGGTTTTCTTAGTTATGGTCTGATTGTGTGAAACTATGTTTTTCACTTAGCAATGTGACAGCATGTGATGTATACATGTCTTTTACACACATTTAGCTAATATTAGTTTAATAATAACAAATTATCTTCATTGAGACTCTATCCATGAATATTCAATATTATTAACATAGGTACTATTTATATATGATTAAACTGAATTATAGTTAGTCTGTATGTATATAAATATTGTGACAAACTAAGCCTCGTCACGTGTTCTTGGAGGGGCCTGCTGGCCAGCCTCTTACCAAAAGACTATGGGCCCTTTAAAAAAACTATGTGAATAGACTTGGTTCATGGGATTTTATATTTGGTTCGGGAACCACTTCGGGAACCACTCTGGAGCTTGTTAAGCCTAATTGCTACTTTGTAGCAATTTCCACCACAGTGTTCTAAGTGTCTGGGTGGCCGCAATTCCTATGGACAACCACGAGGTGGCGGCCATCTTGTTTGCATGAACGCAGACAGCGGTGTTTGGGCATGAATCTCATGGAACTGAAAACAGACACAGAAATGCCCGAACACAGCTGGACTTCCAGCATCTCCTGCATCAGTTCCACAACACTTGGAAAAGCGCTGTTCGGTGGAAACAAGGGGATCAAGCTCCAGGGTAAGACTATAGAATCTGTTCCGTAGTTTGTTTGTTTTTAAACTACCGAACTAGACCGACCGCAAGCCCTGATTCTCTGGAACAGTTTTGGGCATGGGACCATGCGGACGGTCGGTTCAAGGAAATTCCTGAACCGTTTAAGGTATTTTGAGGGGGTTTGTAAAATTTTTTATTTTTTTTGTGCTTGGAGATAATTGGATTAGATTAGTGCAGTTCCTGATCCAATTATCTCACAGGGATTATTTGATTTTGTATGGGAGTGTCCTGGACCTGGGAGCCAATGTGATTGTGTATTTATTTCTACTGTGGTTTACTCTCTGGTCCAGGGGGAGTGCCACTTGCACGGTGTGATGAAAGCAACTTCGCCACTGGTTTTTG